GCAAAGAGGACGGAGCTGGGCTGTTCTCAGTGGGGGCAGATGATGAACAAGGAGCAATGGGCTCACGCTGCAGCAAGGCAAGCTGAGGTCGGATATTAGCAAGAACTCTCCCGAGGAGGGTAAGCGGAGCACCACAGCAGGCGGCGGGCCCTCCCTCCCCGGAGGCTGTGAAGACGCGGGCAAGCAAAGCCTGGGCCCGGCCCTGCCCGGGTGACCCCAGGTCCCTGCCGCCCTCTCGCGGACGCAGCAAGGAGCCGGGGCCCGGACTCACCGACTCGGCGGCCGCTTCCTGCTCGTCCACCGCCAGGGCCCACGAGTCGGTGGCCATGGTCCGGACTGGCAGCGCGGCGGGCGCCTCACTCCGGCTCGGCACCACTCCCGCAATGGCGCCGGGTGGCGGTACTGCGCATGTGCGACCGCTCCGTGTCCGCCGCGTCCGGGCGGGAACCGGCGCCGCGGCGCTTGCGTTCCGGGCGCTGGCCGGACGCTTTCCCCCAGGACACCGGTGTGTGCCCCACTCAGGAGGGAAGAGACCCAGGGGTTGCTGCCCAGTCCCCAAAGGAGCCTGCACATCCATGCTTTTCTGCTCTGCTTTGCTTCGTCATCCATGTCCGTGACCCAAAATCAGTGGCAATCAGTCCTTTGAGCTACCGCAGGTGCCCGCTGGATGCAGTCACGGGCTTAGGGGAGGGCATCGTAAAACTAAAACTTGATGCCACCGAATATTTAATATTGCACGAGGACGCTTTTGTTGCAGTTTAGTGGAGAGGCCAAAGCGAAACGCTCAGCCTCAAAGGGGCCCCGAATGACTCTTGCCCGGGGTCCCTGCAACCCTAAGGCCACGGCTGCTGGACTGGCCCTTCCCTCGGGTGGGAGTTTTGGTCGTTAAAACAAATGAGCGGCCAGGAACACGGGGAATCGAATTTAAATACAAGCAGGCGGATCAACAGCTAAGACAGGTGAATGGCTGTCAGATGTGGGTGCCACTACACGCCCGCCTGGAGGAGAAACGCTAGGAGAGGTCGAGAGGAAGAGCTGGCAGAAAGGGCACCCGGCAGGTTTAGAGATGATAGGCAAAGAGCCGAGTTCTGGGTGGTTTCCGAATCCGGCTTTTGTTCTTCTGTGCTTGCCTAGCGAGGGTTAACTTCAAGTGTCAGAAAATCTCTGTGCTTGGTCTGTTCAAAATGCGATCATTTTGAACAGACCAAGCTTAGGGATCAGCTTAGGGATCTTCATGTTTTCAAAGTAACCGCTCTCGTCTTGTCCAGACGTGGGCTTTTCTGCCGACCAGCTGGATTCTCAGCCTTCACAGTTTTCATTTTCAGATTATTCACCGCAGCCCTGAGGGCTAGGAGCTTACATATTTAATAAAAACGGAGATTGTCGCATTGTTCCCCAATTTAAGGAACTGAGGCTTTAAGAAAAGCATAAAATATGGTGCGATTTTGCCGTAGAATCACAAGATTTGGAAACCCTGAAGGGTTAGCTAGAGATCTCAGTGAAGAAAAAGAGCATAGAAAGGGATTGTAGGAATGCAGGGCTGGAAGAGACGTTGAGACATCGTGCAGTCTGTTCTGCTGCCCTGAGCCAGGATCAGGGATATCCAGAGCATCCCTGACAGATACTTGTCTAACCTCCAAGATGAGATGCACAGGAATGTGCGAGAAGAATCAGGAGGCTCCACAGAGATCTAGTGAATCACAGAGGAGGGAATGCCTGAATTGCTGTCCCCTTGTGCAATGTTAGTGCTGCCTTCGACCCCAGTTCTGTACTTGGGATCAGGGTCTTCCTTTCTTTCTACAGCAGGTGAGTATTGCTGTAATGAGTGAGACCTCCAGAATGCAGAAAATGATGCTGTATAGATATAATGGATGTATTCCTGTGTCAGAAGCTTTTATCCATCCAAGCTCTATACAGGTTTTTAAAAATAGAATGACAAGCCAGAGTCTAGCAGGGGAGGGGACTGATAATATATGAGGTCAAAGTCTTTTTAAGCTTTGCATTTGTGCAGTGGATGGCTAAAATCAGCCCTGAGGGATTGTCTTGGGGTGATGTTTGGAGTCTGCTGTAGACCCTCTGTGTTGAATCTGAGGATGGATAGAGAGTCTATAATGCTTTTAAAGTAATAGTTCTCAATCAGGGAGCTGTGGCACCCCTAGGGTGCCTTGAGATCCTTACAAGGAAGTCGCAGGGTGCCAGACAATGTTATCTGTGCAAACATGATTCGAAATAAATTGATAGAATTCAGATAGAAATTAGTGGTATTAAAATCATTCTGCCCTACAGTGGTCTTGAGTTTTGGCAACAGAATTATATTATTCTGTAGTCAAAAAAACGGGTTAAGAGCTGGCATTTTCTGAGGGGTGCCTCAAGTCTAAGCTTTCCTGCCATGGCAGAGGGTTGGACTTGATCTGCTCAGGTCCCTTCCGACCCTACAAACTATGAAACTATGAGAGGAGCCTGGAGTCTCAAAAGGTTGAGAACCACTGTTTGAGAGAGATAAATGGTGTCGGGAATTGTGTCATGATGAGAAAGTAACCTGCGAGATATAGACTGCTCAAAATAATGGTAAACTCTGGGTATTTCCAGATGTGACAGCTGACAGATTTCTTCACCAAACAGTCACTTAGCTAACAAGAGGTGATCCCATTTTGCACTTGATCTTGGGAAGCAGCAAGAACATTACTGAGAGAGGTACTAGTCAATCCCAGTGTGATTGAGCTGTCAGTGTGATAAGGCTGTGAAAAAAGCATGTAGGTTGTAGGGAGAAGAAACATTAATATCATTGTACAGGGCATGGATGGGGCAGCCCCTGGAATACGGTGCATCATTATGAGCACCCCTGTGCAAGAAAGACACATTTTCACTGGGATGAGGAGAGAAAACAGTCAGGGAAATGGAGATCCCATATAAGAGGAACTAAAAGAGCTTGGCTTTGTTTGCCTTAACAGAATAAAAGCAGAGAGAGGATGTGACTGCTCTCTCCCAACACATCATGAAAGTAAACACCAGGGCTGGAGAAGGGTTATTTCAGTTCAAGGGCAAAACTTGGGGAAGAAAATGGGCATAAGCTGGCCATGAATACATTTAGGTTGGAAGTTGGAAAGTTTCTAACCATTAGAGCTGGTCTGGAAGAGCATTCCCATGGGAGGAGTGGGGACAAAACCAGCACTGGTTTCAGATGAAGCTTGATTAGCGTGTGGAAGAAGTTATATGACCTGTGTGAGCAGGGGATGGGAGCTGATGACCCAGCAGGTGCCTTCCAGTCCTATGCTCCTGGAAGTGGGAGGGGAATGCTACAGAGAAAGTTTGGAGGCAAGGTGTGCACAGGTGGTGTTCACATTCACAGGGTATTAATCCCTGTGTACTCTGCAGGTGGGTCAGCCTCTGCAGGTGATTTCTATCAGGCTCTCCAGGGGTGTTCTTGGTGATGTTCCTTTCCAAGCTGGACTGACTACATGGTGGGGATCCACTTAGTTTGGCTTCTGAGCCAAGTGTGGAGAAGCTTCATCACTGTGGATTGGGTTCCCTGTTCTCTATCACTTCCCTCTGATTTCTCCCTTGGGTAGGTCTCTCCTGCTCTACACCAGCTAGCCATCTGCATCCACCAGACCTGCTCCTATTATTTGTACCCAAGGGAAAGCTCCAAGAAGCAAGAGCCAGGGTCTTTGTGGGGGAGTGCCTCTGGGGTGGCCAGAAATGCAGCCAACCCACAAATGACACTACCTTTACAGTGTTTTGCCAGATAAAGTGCATTGCTCAGACTTTCCCGTAATTGCGTGCTCTGAAATCTCCTTGCTTCAATTTCAGTGGACATCTTGGCCCCTTTTAGGCAGCAGTGCTGTGAAGGGTTGTCACGCAGTTGCTTCTTTTGTTAAAATCAATGTGACTGGTTCCTAAACAAAACCATTTAAAGTACAACTGGGCGATGGGCATGGAGTGTATGAGATCGGGACTTGGCGCATATCCATAGCCAACTTGCTGCTGCCAAACTCTTCATGGACTCCCTCCACCAGACCCCTCTGCGCTGGTACCCACCTCCCTGCATGCTCTGCTCCTTGGGGGCCTGCTTGCTTGCTTACCTTTGCTCTTCTACCCTCCACTTGCATGAAGGGCCGGGGGCTGCTTTTTCATCCCCACTGCCCTGTCAGTCTGAAACCTCCCTCCTCTGTCTGAGCCGCTGAATTCTGTTTCCACCTTGTCTGATCTCACTGATATCAGTGTGTCAGCAAAGGCTGAATTTAGCCCTTCAGCTGTTGTTCTTCAACCTTAATTTTCCTTCCAATCAATTCCAATCTAATTCTCTCCCTCCACCTTCCATTCTTTCTTTACTGTAACCTGGCTTGGGCGTGATGTGTGCTCTGCCCCTTGAAGTCAGCATTTCTGAGGATCACATCAGGCTCTAGTTCTTTAATGTTGCCTTTCATTCCTTCCATTTTTTACTTTCCCCTTCTCTGCCTGCTTAGGAGGTGCTGTCCTTAGTTCTATAAATTGCTCTCCGGGCTTTTGTTTGCCAGGCAATATTTGCTACTTGGTGTGATGAGAGCTCTGTAACAATTGAGTGCGTTGTTCTCTCACCCATTTTCCCCAGTCTAATTAAGTTTCCTCTCTTTAAGCGAACACTCCTGTGCTGTTGGCGCTTCTCAAGCTCTGCCCAGCTGCAAAATGAACTTGGGGGTCTTGCTATGTTATCTGTAGATGTGACATCACAGCCCTTTCCATGGCAACGCATTGCAGTTCCTGAGAGGGAGCCGACGAGCTGAGTGCAAGGAGATTTTTCAGTGGGAACCAAACAGTTTTAAAAGGTGAACAGCCAAAAGAGAGGCCAGCCAGTAAATAAATACATAAAATAATTCATCAAAGGAAGCCCAGAAAAAGACAGGGGTGCAGATGAGGCCTTCCCTTGGGAATGGGGAAGCTTCCTGTTTTGCTCCTGGAGCATGGTGGCTCCAGTCTCTTTGCAACCCCCTCCTCCTTTCACATGCAAAAAACCTCATCTCTCATTCCATTTCCCTCTGCCATTTGCATATTAATTCTGTTTCATCTCCAAAACCTATCAGTCATTTTAAAGGTAAAGGGCAAGGTTTTCACAAGACAAATGTAAAAGGTGCTAGAGATCTAAACATAGTGCCTTCCTTCAGATGGTTGCAGACTCTCGATTTGCATGAGATAGATTAATATTGTTAATTGGGGTTAATGTGGATATTAGAAATGAAGTGACTTGCTAGAGGGTCATTATGAGTGAGTCAGTGACAGATCTGGGATCGAAACCCGCGTTCTCAGTCCCTTGTGTTAACTACAGAGTTTGGGACAGGATTTAGGTGCATCATCAAAGATTGGTTTGAGTGGTCCATCAGGCGTCTGGGATTAGGGCACACAAGGGACTGATGTGGCTAGCAGCACATCAGACCTCTTTTGACTCCCTATCCCAGATGACTGAGCCCCAGTTTATCTGATTGGGGACAACATTCAGTGAATCCAGACTAAAACTCAAACTCCTGTCGCTAGATTTATACCAAGATTTGCTCTCTTGTAGAGACCTCACTCCTGTTAATTCCAACAGGAACTATGCATCTCAGCACTTGAGGTCATCTACTTTTCTGCCCTCTCAAATTGTTGCGTGAGCACTAGAAGCAGCAAACTGCTCTTCACCTTTGCAATGATTAAACCGTGCTATTCACAAGACACTGGCATGAAGGGAAAGTACACAGTGGCAGCCTCTGGCTTACTGGCATGGCTGCAATTATCTGATGGCCTGCCAACCTGTCAGCATGTCCTGGATCTGCAAAGGTGGGATGCACAGGTGTCACTGCTTATTCTGACCATATTGGGGTCCCATGAGACTAACTTTTCTCTTAATTCTTCTACATTGTTTCTCCAGTCTGAACCCTAAAAGTGAAGCAGTGCAGAGACGTGCAAAATTCACCCATCTAACAAAAACAAATAGACATACAAAAAACCTCAACAACAACAGCTCGTAAAACTCTTCAGGACTTCGAGGCTGCTACTGGGACTTGTTCCAAGAGGACAAAAGCTCTCAGCTGATAGATATTGTCACCCCTTGTTGAGATGCAAGTTTCTGCAGGCAAAGTTACAGTTGAAGCTGTTCTATGTGTTCTGTAGAGAGAGGATTTGGTAATGTGGCTTCTTGGCTTCTATGTATGGGACACACTTATATGCCCTGCCCCATTCAGGACATAAGGTAATATTTGCATATAAGTCTGATGCCCCCTTTAAATTCCACTTAAGCCTTCAAAAGGGAGACAGTGGTGCTAGAGGGGTGAATTTTGTTCTCACTGAGCAACACAACAAAAGGCACAACAGAATCAGAGCTGCAGAAAGCTTAACCCACTCTCCAAATGCTGGTTCTGTTGCCATGATTAACATTATGCATAACACCAGATTCCTGGTTCTGCATTCCCAGTATAAATATTTACAGCCAAAGAAAAAACAGAATCTCATCAGGCTTGTGAAGGAGAGAAGCAAAATAGTATCTAAAGTGAGTGAGAGAAAGAGAGAGATCTTTCCTAGGGAGGAGGAGTCCCAGAAGCAATTGTCAGTAAGCAAGTTTCCACATTAGCTCAGGTGGGCTTGCTAACAGTTTCAGAAAGACGCTTTTTCTCTTTTTCCCTTGTTCTTTTATGTATTTTCCCTTCAAGTGAATATATGCTTATGCAAACACCAGACCGCTATCCCTGGGCATTTGCCTTTGATCATGATTCACCATGGCAGCTGAGGATACAACTGTGAGTGGTCTTGTTGGCTTAAGTACCTGACTGGATCAGAGTCTTTAAGCCCATCACTGC